GAGCACGCCGTGATACAGGTTCAAGACCCACCAAGGACTCACCATTCTGGAAGACTAACTGATGCCTCCGGAGGTAGTGGTGGTAACTCTGCCGGAAAGCCATCTCGGAGTGTGACAAGGCGAACAGCCTCTCCATTGTGTGGGTACGTTGGTGTCTGATGAATTCTGATGGAAAGGAGAAGCCTTTCCCGCATAGGGCGCAAGAAAATCGCTTCTGCTTGGTGTGTGTCCTCTGGTGACACCAGAGGTCTGTTTTCTGCATGAAGCTCTTCCCACAACGCCAGCACTTGTAAAGATGTTCTCCCATGTGGATCTTTCGGTGACGGCTCAGGTTGCTCCCCCAGCTGAAGACCTTCCCACAGTGCTCACACTTGTACTCTGCGGAGGTTCTGCATTGTTGGGTTGCGCGGTTTTGAACGTCTCCAGCACACGTCCCTTTGAAAGAACATTTTCAGGGTTCTGTTGGAACCTTCTCCGTTCCCTTCTTCCATTTCCCCGTTATCCTTTCCCCTCTCTCTATCCTCCTCCTACATCACCCTGGACCAGCACCCAACTTTTGTCCCCACATTCATACCCCACCAAAACTTCCCACACTCCCCAGGAGGGCCGGGGTTGGAGATGGGGCAGGTCGGGATGGGGCAGGGTTGGGTTGTTGGCTGCTCCCACCCGCTGGGGGTGAACCCGGGAAGGGGAATAGAAGAGGAAAATCAAGAAAACCCATGAGTGGAGGTAAAAATAGTTTGTCAGGAGGAGACCAGAAAAGGTAGGCAGCTGCAGGAGGCCATCACTCACCCCAACCCATGAGGAGATGGCTGCCCAGCCAAATCCTGACGAAAATCTGGCCAACCCCCACCCCCAGAATCCCTCTTCTCCATTTTATTGCTGAGAACGACATGATACAGGGTTAAGCCCCCTCTGTGGACTCACCATTGTGGTACTTTTCCTGATGCTTACTGAGGTGAGCCCTCCTCTGGAAGGTCTTCCCACAGTGTGAGCAGGCGTACGGTCTCTCGTTCGTGTGGATGCGTCTGTGGGTGATGAGGCTCGAGCACCATGTGAAGCGTTTCCCACACGTGGTGCAGGTAAAGGGCTTCTCCTTGGTGTGTATTCTCCGGTGACACAGGAGGTTTCCCCTTTCTGTGAAGCTCTTCCCGCAATCCTGGCACTTGTAGGGCTTCTCTCCCGTGTGGATCCGTCGGTGATGGGTCAGGTGGCTCCCACAGTTGAAGGCTTTCCCACAGTCCACACACTTGTACTCCAACTCTCTGGACCTGCTCTGTGGGTGGGGTGCATCCACTTGAACATCTTCAGCACACGTCCCTTTGAAAGAGCAATTTGGAGGTTGTGTTAGTACTTCATCCTTTCCCTTCCTCCTCCATCCCTCTCTCTCTTTCCCATCCCTCCTCCTTCTTCACCCTGGACCAGCTCCCACCCTTGGTCCCCACTTCCACCACCCAAAACTCTCCCCACCCCTTGGGAGGGTTTGGGATGGAGATGGGGCAGGTCGGGATGGGGTAGGGTTGGGCTGTTGGCTGCTCCCACCTTCTGGGGGTGAACCTCAGAAGCAAAAAAGAAGAGGAAAACAGAGAAAACCCATAGATGGAGAAAAAAAATGTTCAATAGTAGACAGACAGGAGGATACAGAGAGACAGAAAGGAGGAGACATGTAAGGCCATCGCTCAAAACCTCCTATGGGGAGATGGATGCCCAGCCAGTACCTGATCAAAATCTGGCCAATCCCCCCCTCCAAACCCCCTCATCTCCATTTTATAACTGAGCACGAGGTGATATGGGGTTAAACCCCCTCAGAGCTCTCACCATTGTGGATAGTTTTCCGATGCCTCGTGAGGTGATAACTCTGCCGAAAAGTCTTGCCACATTCTGAGCAGACGTACGGTCTCTCTCCCGTGTGGATGCGTTGGTGCTTGACGAGGTATGAGGTAAAGGAGAAGCGTTTCCCACATGTGGTGCAGAGAAAGCGCTTCTCCTTGGTGTGTGTCCTCTGGTGACACTGGAGGTTTCCTCTCTGCGAGAAGCTCTTCCCGCAATCCTGGCACTTGAAGAGCTTTTCTCCCATGTGGATCTTTCGGTGACGGCTCAGGTTGCTCGCCCAGCCGAAAACCTTCCCACAGTGCTCACACTTGTATTTCTTGTCTCTGGAGCTACTCGGTGGTTCAGTTGAGGCTCCCTGAAGGTCTTCAGCAGATGTCTCTCTGAAAGAGCATTTTCGGGGTTCCCCCGTTCCGCGGCTCCCTTGCGTATCACGGGGCTGCTGTTGGCCATCGTGCTCCACGGCCACCGTGGGGCTCTGGGGCTCCTCTTGGGGCCCTTGCAGCATCCCCCTCTGCTCTTCCCTGGGCTGGCACTGCTCCTCCTTCTGCTCCTCTGTCCCAGCGCCTGTGGGGGGCCAAAGGGGCTCAGCTGGGGGCACTTAAGGCACATGAAGAGCAGCCACCTCCTGCATGGCTCTGCCTGCTCGGCTCCCACCCTTCCCTTCTCCTCCTTGCTCTCAATTTCATCCCCTTGTAATTCCCCCCTTCTCCCAGGAGGGCCGGGGATGGAGATGGGGCAGGTCGTGATGGGGCAGGGTTGGGCTCTTGGCTGCTCCCACCCTCTGAGGGTGAACCCATGAAGGGAAAGAAAAAAATAGTGAGGAAACCTGTTGGTGGAGGTAACAATAATTTGACAGGACGAGGGTGGAAGAGGCCATCACTCACCCCCACCCATGGGGAGATGGATGCCCAGCCAGATCCTGATCGAGATCTGGCCAAGAACTGCCCCAAACCCCACCCACTGCATTTTATGGATGAGCTCGATGGGATACAGGGTTAAGCCTCTCCAAGGACTCACCACTGTGGAAGGATTCCTGATGTTTCCGGAGGTTATAACCAACCCTGAATGTCCTTCCGCAGTGGGAGCAGCTATAGGGACCCTTTCCCATGTGGGTGCGTCGGTGGACCAAAAGGTTGGACCTAAAGGAGAAGCGTTTCCCATACGTGGTGCAGAGATAAGGCTTCTCCTTCGTGTGTGTCCTCTGGTGTCTCTGGAGGTTTTGTCTTGTTGCAAAGCCCCTCCCACAATCCCAGCACTTGTAGGGCTTCTCTCCCGTGTGGGTCCGTAGGTGACAGATCAGGTTGTACTTGGAGCTGAACAACTTCCCACAGTGCTCACACTTGAACTTCTCCTCTCTGAGGGTACTCGGAGCTTGAATTGAGGCTTCCTGAGGGTCTTCAGTGTACGTCCCTTTGAAAGAGCATTTTTGGGGTCTCCTTGGTTTGTGGCTCCTTTCAGTATCACCCAGCTGCTGTTGGCCATCGTGCTCCACGGCCACCGTGGGGCTCTGGGGCTCCTCTTGGGGCCCTTGCAGCATCCCCCTCTGCTCTTCCCTGGGCTGGCACTGCTCCTCCTTCTGCTCCTCTGTCCCAGCGCCTGTGGGGGGCCAAAGGGGCTCAGCTGGGGGCTCTTAAGGCACATGAAGAGCAGACACCTCCTGCATGGCTCTGCCTGCTCGGCTCTCTCCCTTCCCTTCTCCTCCTCCTCACACCCCGCCATGGCCTTGCCCATTGAGGAGGACTCCTCACACTCCCCTGCTCCGCCGGTGGCTCCCTCCCACGGGAGACAGTCCTCCACGATCTTCCTCCCACCTGGGTCCCTCCCAGGGGCTCTGGGGGGGCATCTGCTCCCCCGTGGGGCTCCACGGGTGCAGGGCAGTCTCTGTTCAGAGCACCTCCCCCCTCGTGCCGTCCTTCCTCTCCCTCGCTCTTTGCAGAGCTATTTCCCCACCCCTCCTCCTCCTCCACCTTCCATGTTCCCCGTTTTAAATACCTTGTCCCAGTGGTGGGGCCACCATTGCTGACTTGTCCAGCCTTGGCCAGCAGCGGGTCCATCTTGCATCCATGGGAGCTCTGAGCATCTTCTCCCTGGAGCCCCCCCTGTACCCTCTCCCCCTCCCAGCCCGTCCACACACAAACCAGCACAACAGGGTGCAGCCGGGTGGGTGCTGAGCCCCGGGCAGGGGGTCCTGAGCACCCCGAGAGGCGTCAGCAGGTCCTCTGCCTGTCCCCTCCCTGTTCCTACTTGTATCCTACTTACGGTTTTCTATTATCTAAGGACATGGGAGTACAAGGGTATGGGTGCCCAAGGCTCTGTGTGTGTGTGTCCGTCCGTGTGTGTCCTCTTCCTATACAAGCTGATCTTCATCCCTCCCCCTCATCCATCCTTACAGCTCCCTCATACCTGTACCACCTCCTCTTCTTTTCGTCCTCCTCCTTCCCTCCTCCTTCTTCATGCTGGACCAGCAACCACCACTGGTTTCCAATTTTACCACCCTCAAAACTCTTCCCACATTCTGAGAGGGCCAGGGATGGAGATGGGGCAGGTTGTGATAGGGCAGGGTTGGGCTCTTCTGTGTTCCCAACCATTGTGGATGACCTTGGGGAGGGAAGCAGGAAGCAATATGACAAAAACTCTGGGTGGAAGTAAAATAATTTTGACAGGAGGAGGGTGGAAGAGGCCATCACTCACCCCCCCGCCTGTGAGGAGATGGATACCCAGCCAGTTCCTGATCGAGATCTGGCCAAGAACTGCCCCAAACCCCACCCACTGCATTTTATGGATGAGCTCGATGGGATACAGGGTTACACCTCTCCAAGGACTCACCACTGTGGATGGATTGCTGATGCCTCCTGAGGTGATATCCATCCCTGAATGTCTTCCCGCAGTGGGCGCAGGTGTACGGTCTCTTTCCTGTGTGGATGCTTTGGTGAAGAATGAGTTTTGACTTGAAGATGCCATTCCTGCTGCTGGTGCAGAGATACGGCTTCTCCTTGGTGTGTGTCCTCTGGTGCCTCCGGAGGTGCCAGCTCTGAATGAAGCTCTTCCCGCAATCCTGACACTTGAAAGGCTTCTCTCCCGTGTGGATCATTTGGTGACGGCGCAGAGTTTTACTCGAGGTGAAGACCTTCCCACAGTCATCACACTTGTAGTCCTTCTTTCTGGAGTTACTCTGTGGTTGGGTTCTGTGTTCTTGTGGGTCTTCACCGTACGTCCCTTTGAAAGAGCATTTTCGGGGTTCCCCCGTTCCGCGGCTCCCTTGCGTATCACGGGGCTGCTGTTGGCCATCGTGCTCCACGGCCACCGTGGGGCTCTGGGGCTCCTCTTGGGGCCCTTGCAGCATCCCCCTCTGCTCTTCCCTGGGCTGGCACTGCTCCTCCTTCTGCTCCTCTGTCCCAGCGCCTGTGGGGGGCCAAAGGGGCTCAGCTGGGGGCTCTTAAGGCCCATGAAGAGCAGCCACCTCCTGCATGGCTCTGCCTGCTCGGCTCCCTCCCTTCCCCTCTCCTCCTCCTCAGCCCCCCATGGCTTTGCCCATTAGCTCCATGTTGGGCTTTGAGCCCCGAGGGCACCTGAGCCTCACCCAGGCCCCTCTCTCTCCCCCTTCCCCACAGTGGGTGGAGTTCTCGCACTGGTCCCCTTCTCGGCCATGGGCTCCCTGCCACTGGAGAAAGTCCTCCGCAAACTTCCAAACTGTGGAAACTGGAGGAGAAGTAGCAGCGGCAGGGGGGGATTGTGACCGTCGAGTCAATTGGACGAGCGTTTTGGGGCACCACTCCCCCAGACTACAGGACCTGAGACAACACTGGAACCTGGAGGCGTGATCCAGACTCTTTCTTTCCTTCCCTTTACTTTTATTTCCTTTCTTTTCCTTCTTACAGATTTATAAAAGACGGCATTTCTTACCATCCTTTTCTCCATTTAATCTCTTTCTACTGCAAGTTAAACATTTTCAGGGGTTGTCTGCTCTTGTTTCACCTTAATTTGAGCTGGAGGGATCACTGACCATTTATGACTCTCTGGACTCCCAGTCCAGATTGCAACATCTCCTCTCCGATTCCCCTTTTTAAATAATTTTTCACAGGGGCGTGGCCAGTAGATAATCGGCTCGGTCTTGGCCAGGGGCGGGTCCGACCTGGAGCCGCGGGAGCTTTGAGCATCTTCTCCCCGGAGCCCCCCCTGTACCCCCTCCTCCGCTCCCAGCCCCTCCACACACAAACCAGCACAACAGGGTGCAGCCGGGTGGGTGCTGAGCCCCGGGCAGGGGGTGCTGAGCACCCCGAGAGGCGGCAGCAGGTCCCCTGGGTGCGCCGGGGTGCGGATTCTCCATCCCTCAGGGAAACCCTTGCAGGGAAGGGGGGTTGTGCATCTCAATCTCTGGCCCTGCGGGGGTTGGTTGGGAAGTTTTGGGAAGTCTCTGTGTGTCTCACCCCACTCATTCACGGGAGAGAAGAGATTCAGGTCGGTAAATCCCCAAGAGAGCAGGCAACGGTGACAAACGTCTCAAAATCCAAACATTTATTAATTTCCCACGAGGTCCAAATTGGATACAGGGTCATTGGCTGAGGATACAACGAGCTGTGGCAAGGAATGCCGTGTGCCTGGCGGTGCTTCTGGTAGTGACTGGGAAGGGGGAAAAGGGAAGGAGGGAGGTGGGGGAGTAGAGGGGTACAGATCATCGGTCTGGGTTCCTGCGTCCATCCCGCCAGCGAGGCTTCCACGAGGGATCCGTCTTCTCCGCTTCCCTGCACTCTCCAGCGTCCCACCTCTTTCTTCCCCCTCGATTATACCCCCTTTCCTTGGCCCCCTCCCCCAGGTCGACCCACACACCCACGTATCACGTGGGTGCGGAGGGATGGTTAATTAGCACGATATAATTAGTCCTCATCAGCATGTTCAGGGTGTTCACTTTAATACGCATTTGGTGGCTAACGAAGCAAAGGTTGTTCACCGGACAGACGCCCCTTGGAACTAGACCAGGTGCGCCAGAGCAGAACCCTCCTGTCCCCACCGGGCCCCCCCCTTCCAGCTACATCCTCTGTTATTGGGGCGGCCTCATCAGCTTCGACCTCCACAACATCCACCCCGGGACTAGAGTTTCATCTTGTGAGTGTTTGAGACATTCCTCAGCTCAGAGGGTCCCCACTCCCCCCCTGTCCTTTATCTCTTACTCAGTCCGTGTTTCTCAGTCAGTTTTTACGAGTCATCTCTCACCACCTGACACCAAATGAAGGGGAATGGGGAGAATATGAAGATCTCCGCAGCGGATCCCCTAGTTCCAGAAAAGCCGGGGAATGCAATAAAAGATTTTCCGATCGGTAGAAGGGTCACGCATTCTGTAGGGACTAGTTGTAAGGGGCCGCTAAAGCAAGACTCAGGTAAGTGTTGGTGCACCAGGGAAAAGAACCTTAAAATCATTTTTACAACCAGGGAACGCTCAGCTGGGGATACAAAATTAACTCAGATTCCTCTGTTGCCAGAGTGGCCTTTGCCATTGCTCGGTCGAGAGAGACGCTGCAAGTTAAATGCACAATTAACGTCCAGGCACTTGTACGGTCTCTCTCCCTTCTGGGCCCTGCGCTGGGAGATGAGGCTGGAGAAGTCCTTGCAGGTCTTCCCGCCGTCTGGGCACGTGTGGGGTCGTTCTCCCGCGGGATTTCTTTGGTGACGTCTCATGCTCTTACTCCCGTACTCCCGCGGAAGATCTTCCCACCCTGGGGGCATTTAGAGGTCCCCCGCGTGGCGCGGGCCACCGGCTTGCTGGTGGCTGGGTGGGTGTTCTTCCCGCCATCCCCTTGTCCCGGCGCTGTCTGCTCCTCCTTGCTCTCCAACTCCTCCTCCAGCACCGGGGGTGCTTGTCCTGGCTCCAGCTGGGTGCTCGGTGCCTGCAGGAGAGAAATCCATTGCACTCAGCCATCGCCACCCACCGCTCCCCCAGGGCTGGGACATCCCACGCTAAACCCCCCCAAGGACTC